TTCATCTCTTTTTTTCCTCTATTAAGTCTACAAGAATAGATACATCATATATACAATGAATGACAAACTTTAATGATTCTATTGAATCTCTATTACATGCGTTTATCTCACTTTAAAAGAACAGTTAATTCTTCTTGTATCCTCAGTGATACTCTGACTTACAGCATGCATTCAAAATGCTGCCAACACTGAGTATATCAAAGAATATCTAAGGGTTTAGAAATGAGAAGGGAAAGTCTAAATATATGATACTTAATCATTAATAAACATAGGCTAGATGAAAAACAAACATCAAAATTTAAAATATAGATCCAAATATAAAAAATCTGGAATGTAGGTTGCTGCATTACTCTTCTAATGTAGAATTTTGAAAAAAAAATTGTTAATTATAAATCAAATAGTAAAACAATTATTACATACAAAAATTAGTTAAAAACCTGGCACTAGTACTAATTTTAAAACTGATTACAAAACTGACCAAAAGGCTAGACCATTTCCCTAACTTACTTGTATCCTTCAAAGAAATGAATATTTGTCTATGCTATTTCACGTTATGCATCATTGAAATTTGAGATGGTGACTTACCCATCTTTCTCTTATTTTCTCTTTCTTCTGCCTACATGCCTAAAGGTGTGTGTATGTGGAGCTTCCACAGAGTAGAAGAGAATAACGGAGAAGCGACGGGTATTATCTCATGAACTGAAACACAGCACAGGTATTTCTGTACATGAGAACCTGCCTTTTCCCATTAAAATCACCTTGCAGAGGAACAAAAGCATTTGCAGTGCTTACCCACAAACTTCTGTGGTGTGGAGCTTTTACGTTTTCCCATATTCCCTGTGAGCTTCTCTATGACAGCAGGTCTCTCAAAAGGCACCAGAGAAATATTGTTGTCCATAATAGGCTCTTGTTCCTTACAATCTTCCATAGGAGGTACTAAATAAAACCATACAAAAGTGCAATCGGATAATTTCTTCAACATTTTGAAAGATACAAAGATGGATTTGCCATCTTAATATATGTTATCAAAACATAAGCTAGTATGCTTGAATGAAAGCAAGTAGAAAGAATAACAGCTAGGGTAAAAGTATACTCTTTAATTTCACACAGACGCAGGATTCGTTTTTATCTGAGTGTTTGTTAGACCAATGACATAAATGACTATTGGCAGCAAACACGTTCATCTTATTTCTCACCTTATTCCTCTGAAAGTGCTTTTTATCGCTGATTAAAATCAATACCATTTTAAGACTGCACTATTTTGAAGGCTTTCGGAGTTTATTTTTGTAAAATAATTTAAGTAACTCAACTTGTTTTGGAGAAACTCTTAAACAGACACACAGAATAGCAGTGCAATATTTAACTTTTATTTTTTTTTAACCCATCTATTTTCTTCCAGCAGATTTTCTATTTCATGACCTGTGAGCCTCACTGGCAGCAGCTTAAATACCTGCATAAAGCAGCTTTCATGAAGGGACCCAATTCTGAACCTGTCTTATACATAGTAAATGGACAGCTTTATGATTGTAATTTATTTTAAAAAGTGCTCTTCAGTAGAAAGAAGAATCCATTCTCAAATTGACATGTAGGCTCACTAGACTATTGCCCCAATTCATCCAACATATAACACTCTCCCTTGCTGTTCCTTATTCATCCCATGTCTCAGTTGCTACGGGCTAATATGTTAGCCCTTAGACACTGATACTCACAACATAGAAAAAGAACTTACAGAAGTTGCTTCTGAATAGAAATACCATCCAAGGATGTTTAATTAAGGATAGGGTAACATCTCAGATCAGCTGATTAAAACCAGTGTTCCCAGGGAAGAACATAACTTAACACTGTTGCTTTCTCCAATTGCCCTTGTGCCAGTACTGTTTGGAAACCTAAAGGTTTCATTTCTTAGAATATCTTTATCTGTTCAGCATTCATTGTAAAACACTGACCCTTTCATTTATTTAAGACAGTCCCACTGTATGCAACAAAGCCATTCTCCTTTATAAGCAGATCTTGCTGGTGAAGGCTAAAGTGAAAAGGCAAGAGATCAAAGTCCAGAAAATTGAGTGCACAATGCAGGTGACTACTTAATAACCAACACTGGTTCCTGATCTCAAAAAACTCCCCCCAAACAGGATCTAAATATTTTCATAATTTGTACATGTTTAAAGAATTTCAATATTCATCCAAGCTGTGATTAACCTAGTGAATGGGCCATAAAATTATTGAATCTTTAAGGCCTCAAGCCAGGTACCCTGATTCATGCCTGTAATCCTAGCACTCTGGGAAGCCAAGGTGGGAGGATCGCTTGAGCCCAGGAGTTCGAGACCAGCCTAAGTACTAAAAATAGAAAAAGTAGCCAGGCATTGTGGCAGGCACCTATAGTCGCAGCTTACACCAGAGGCTGAGGCAGAAGGATTACTTGAACCCAAGGAGTTTGAGGATACTGTGAGTTGGGCTAAGGCCTTGGCCTTCTAGCCTGGGGCAACAAAGTGAGACTGTCTCAAGAAACAAATAACCGAACAAACAACCCAACAAAAACCAACCAACTGAATTTTTAATCTACATTTAAAATGAGCTCCTCTGGCTATCTGCAATTATTAAATGTTAATTTGTCAAAAAAAAAAAAATCCAAGATGAGATTCAGGAACAACAATACACTTACATCATTTTCTTTACTGATATAATTCATGATATCAAGTGGGAAAAGATCCAAAACGAAAACAATTGTAAAGAAACCAGTTGTTGGCTCGGTGCCTATAGCTCAACCGGCTAAGGCGCCAGCCACGTACACCTAAGGTGGCAGGTTCGAATCCCCAGCCCGGACCCGCCAAAACAACAATGATGGCTGCAACCAAAAAATAGCTGGGCGTTGTGGCGGGCGCCTGTGGTCCCAGCTACTTGGGAGGCGGAGGCAGGAGACTCGCTTGAGCCCAGGAGTTGGAGGTTGCTGTGAGCTGTGATGCCACGGCACTCTACCCAGGGGGACAGCTTGAGGCACTGTCTCAAAAAAAAAAAAAAAAAAAAGAAACCAGTTGTTATAAATTTTGCTAAAAACCCCAGCAAACTGGTTACCAGGGTTTGCCCCCAAAATTGAATATGCTAATTAGTTCTGTAATGAGTAGTCTAAAACTTGGCAGTTTTGCTCAGTCTCACCTTGATTTTTGATACTTGCACACGTTTAACACTCAAAACGAAACCTGGGTGTGGGAACTGTCCCCGGCCACATTCACCTCAATTCAGACAATTTGTCCCACGTTCAATAAAGCTCATGTGAACTGAAAATGATGACTTTGGTAAGGTTCTGATCTAACTTCTACTTTACAGCAGTCCTTTATGTGTTGAAAATTGATTTCATTTCTACAATATCAGCAATAATAAGTGATGACACAGGGAGTATTATGTGCTTAGTATTATTTTAGGGTTTTTCATTTAATCATTTAATTCTTTCCCCACCCCCATGAAAGAGGTGCTATTACCATCTTCACTTTACAGATGGAGAAACAAATGCTAAGTAGTATTCTTAGGGTTACAGCCACTCTGTAGGCAATGTTACCACTAAGAGGCCTGGTACCAGAGGTGGGGCTCTTAACCACTATGCTATACTATTCTTTGTAGATGTGTTTTGAGTGCTGACTTTTTAATAAACCAACATGCCCTTTTAATAAACCAACACACGTAAGATCTGTCACTGGGAAAAGATCTGACAAATTTTTCTTCAATTATGCAACTAATCTGAATTTTTTGCTTTCACAGACCTGGATGTAACTCGGATGAAAATGTTTCTGAGCATACGCATTTGCTTAAAACAAATTTTCTACACATCTCAATAGTGTATTAATCATACAGTGACACATTTATCTGGGCTAAAAATATACCACCACGCTAACTTCACTTGTTTGAGTGAACTTTATAACCAAATATCTTCTTTGACATTATTTTTGAAATTATAACTAGGATAAAAATATATTCATATTTGTCTTACGATCATTGTTTCATAAGTTTGATAAACAATAAAGGCAGAAGGATGATGGTATTCCCAATATAACTTTTTTAAAAGTTGAAACAATCCAAAAACCCCCATTTTCCTACCCAAACTTTCTCCTCTTTTCCTAATTCTCATCTAATTATGAACGGCACTACTATCTAGTCCAGCATTCCTGCTAGATACCTATGGCAAATACTAGATTCTGTTTTCTCACCCAGTCTCCCATCTCACCTCCTCTCTGCCATGTCTCCTTACAAACACACATCAAGTTACAAGTGTTTTGGCTTTGTGAGTGGGGTGCCAGCCACATACACTGAGGCTGGCGGGTTTGAGCCTGGCCTGGGCCCACTAAACAACAATAACAACTCCAACTAAGAAATAGCTGGGCATTGTGGCGGGCACCTATAGTCACAACTACTTGGGGGGCTGAGGTAAGAGAATTGCTTAAGCCAAGGAGTTTTGAGGTTGCTGTGATCTGTGACGCCAGGGCACTCTACCAAGGGTGACATAGTGAGACTCCCACCGCAACAGTCTCCTAATCTACTCATGACTCCTCTGATCTCTCTCCTACATATCTAGCAATAAATTATAAGCATAATCCTTTATTTAGGATAAAGTACAAAATTCTGTGCTTAGCACAATAGGCCCTTGATGTTTTATCCAGAGCCTATTTATCTGGCCTTATTACCTTTCAATTTCTCTTGTCCTTACAAACTGAGCTGGGATTATGTAAAGCTATTTGTAGGTCCTTAACCCTCCACGCTCTTCTAGATTTCTGTTTCTTCACCTGTGCTGTTCTCTCCGCATGTTCTACATTTACCAGCTTACTATTTGTGCCTTTCTAAAGTCAACTCAAACACAAATTTCCCTTGAAACTCTTTTTAGAAGTCCAGCTGATATAGGTATCCATCTCCTATGCCCCCATTCTTCTTATAACACAGTGTTCTAATTGAAGTTTTATTGTTCTATTTCTTAAAGTAGTTGGTAAATAACCTTAGGACTTGCATTTTGTTTGAATTTTTACCTCCAATGCCTTTTATGAGACATATATTCAGTGGATATTTACTAATTAATGAAGAAAATGATTTCACTCAATGGAAATAAGTCAAAAAAGTTTACTAGAAAGTTTGCAGGTACCTAGGGCCTCCAGACTACCACTAAAGAAGCTTCTGTTCCCAAATAATTCAAAGCATAAACCTAACACCCCGGAGCTTTAAAGTTGGCTACCTTCCTGGTTCACACTTTCATTTTTGTCTTCAGGTTAGAGGAGAAAGGTATTTACATAATTTGCTTTTTTTTTTTTTTTTTTTTTATTGAGACAGAGCCTCAAGCTGTCCCCCTGGGTAGAGTGCCATGGCCTTACAGCTCACAGCAACCTCCACTCCAACTCCTGGGTTTAGGCCATTCTCTTGCCTCAGCCTCCCA